AGATTAACGCATCCAGTTATCACTGGGAAGTGAAGATGCTTAAAATCTGCTCTTACCAAATTTCAAGTACACAATGAAGTTATTATTACCTACTTCCTTTTTATATCTAGCTTGGCATGCTCCAAATTGACTTTAATACAGCTCCACATCTACTTTCCTTCCTTGTAATCTCTCTATCAAATAAGGCTATGACCTGCAGTTATAACTTTCCCACCTAAATCCCTCTTCATATCTAATCTACTACTATGCTAGGTTCCACCTTAAAATATTTCTTGTAATTACTGTTTTTTCTCCCACACCACTGACACTGCCTTAAGCTCTGGTAGCATTTATTAAGGCAGCAGACTGCTACAAAGATGATACCTCATTTATTTAACATAAAAATATGGCAATTAGCTGTGCCAAGTAGACCAATTAACCTACTTTTCCAACAGGTAATAATGAGGATACAGACATAGGCAATTTTAAAACAGTACTGCTCAGCAATAAAAGGTAAGGGAACAAGCCAGGCAGTGGTGGTAAACTCTACTAATCCAGCACTTAGGAAGCAGAGGCATGAAGATCTCTGTGAGTCTGAGGTCAGCATGGTCTACAAAGTGAGTTTCAGAGCAGCCAGGGCTACACAGAAAACCCTGTCTCCAAACAAAAGAAAAGAAAAGAAAAGAAAAGAAAAGAAAAGAAAAGGGTTAGGAAAGGCCATTACAGAGTAAGAAGGAAGATATCTAACTCAGCTTTGAATGGAAGGGCAGAGTATCAGGGAATGTAGTTTGGGCAAAGTGATTCACAATGTTTGTACAGGAACAAACAGAGTTAAGCAAACAAGTACAAGAATGTCTCAGGTACAGAAACTCACAATCACTTCAGTGTTACCTGTCAAGAAGGTGGAAAACAAATAGGGAGAAAGAAACGAGTGTCAGGCATCAGCCAGGTGTCCCTATAAGGCTTTACAATTTATTTGGAGATGATAGAATCCATGGAAGCTCTTTACATTTCCTTTTTATAGAGGAGAGAGCCAGATCTGTGGACCAAATAACTCCCAAGATACCTGGCTACATTAATTGTTGTATAATGTCTTCCAGTGGACTTTAAACTGCATGAATAAAAAAAAAATTCTGTTTGTCTTGTTTTCATCTGTATCCCCAGTGCCCAAGCCATAGAAAATAACTAATGCTTTCATGAATGGGAGGATGGATAGATGACGCAAGTATTCTGTGCCAGTGATTCTGGAGGTAAAGAGTATCTTTGCACTACATTCCTTCTTCCAAACCACTGCCAAAATTACTCATACCATTGAAAAGTGGGGCTAATAAGTC